TAGCCAGGTGACTGCCATCTTCCAAAAAAGTGGTGCACTATGGAAGCCTTTGACTTCCTCTCACCAAGTTTTCTTTAAAATTTGGGGTCTGCATCACAAGCAAGTTGGGCTTTCCTCTACAACTGGACATCCCCTTTAAGTCATTACAATTACAGCCGGCCACCCAATGAGAGGCTTTTCAATAATCCGGGAACGTCATGTTTTCGCACTAAGGCCCCTCTAGTCCCCCAAAAATCTCCATCTCTGTTTCGGAATGATTCGGCAGAGGGTAACCATCCCGCTATTCATCCGATTCTTGGATCTGTTGCTTGTAGAGCCCGGCCAGCAGAAGTTGGCTGATATGGAGGTCAGGACGGTGGTCACGTTGGGGGCCGGTAACATGTTAAAGCGCTAAATAAGTTATGAGGTGTTTTATGAATCCTAAAAACCTGAATTTCAGGAGCTTTGTACACGAGCCCCCCGCCGGCCGCTCTCCTGGTTAGAAGTAAACTCGGCAGTCAGTCTAGAACAGCCTGGGAGTCCTCAGTCCTTCGCTGTTCCGGGAGTGTGCGGCGTTATACCGGGGCGGCGCAGTGCTGCCCTTACCCCCCCCCCTCGTACGGAGAAGGGGGGTGGAAGTCCCCGCTGCGTACAACTGCGGGGGCGCACCAATCAGAAGGCCACGGTGTCTTCCTGTCTCCGGTTCCAGCAGAGGGTGCTGTTCATGGTCGCAAAGTTGTCCTCCTCTTCCTGCTCTTTAGCAAGTTCAATGAACACCTGGAAACGGGAAGACGAGATGAAACCGACTTATGTGACCCACAGACAGTACGATGGACCATGAGTAGACATCTGACAGATGAACGAGAGGATGGCATTTCTGCTGGGCAAACTTAATATTGGGTGGATGGAATTTAATTTCTAGAAGGAAGTCTCGTGCTCGCTCTGTGTCTGAAGGTTGTATTTCCTAATATGGACTCCAGGGAGCCTTCAGTTAACCAATGATCTGTGATGTCCAGCAAGGATGTGTTCTGGCTCAGGCCGGCCTCTGGGCAGAAATGTAAACACAGCGCGCTTCTTATTCGGGGCACACTGCTGATTACAGCCTCAGGGTTAGGATTAGGGATATTCATTTTGGCTGCATAAAGCAATGCACAAAAACACGTGTTGCTGCCCGCTGTGGTACGGTGACAACTGGCCCCCGTAAAGGATATCGGGGACTCCATTGGCTGTTGTTTTCCCCCCAAATAGAGCTTCAGAACACGTTCTTATTAGATGCAAACCATTGTTACCTGTTCCAGTGTAGACTGGGAGAAGCTGTACTCCTCCACATTAAAGGTCCGTTTCACTGCAACAAGAAACACACATGTTGTATTTTCACATATATAAGTTATTGTGTTCTCCTAAAAATCATTTCTATTGTTACATTTTTACCGTATTTTCTAGGGATGCACCAATACTGGTTTTTCGGTATTAAGTACAAGTACCGATATTTTGCTTTCGAGAGTTTGCCTGAGGACGGGGCCGCATGGTCTGGAAACGTCGCTAAGGAGATGTGTGTTATCTCAGTCAATAAACAGCATTGACTTTAATATCATGGAGTGCGAGTGACTACTTTCATCTATCTACATTTTACGGAGGCATCCGTTGTCACCACCGCACCCACCCAGTTGGATTTGGGTTTTTGTCCGGTCAGGAGAATTAAGTTTTGGCGGCATGTAATGACATCGGTATTGGTGCATCCCTAGTATCTTCATAACAAACTTGTCATACAAAGTACTGAGGTTCTCCGTATGACAAGACGGTACAACGTAGGATTTGTGTACTCACCGTATATTCCTTTGAGGGATACAGGAAGTCTGAAACCTTCAGGTTATACTGCCGCCTACAGAGGGATTGGACACTGCCACAAAATGTAGGCCAGCCCAGGATAACCCATTCTACTACCGGCTGATTTCGGTTTTGTAGCAAAGCAGTACCGAGAGCAGAGCAGGATCCTGAACCTGTGTCCCTCAATCAACTCCAAGGAAAGGATTTTGCAGTAAATGTTTTGCACAAAAATCCTTTCTTTCTTATTCGCTGAGGGACACAGGAAGTCTAAAACCTTCAGGAACTCCAAAAGCAGACCAACTGAGGCAACATTGTACACAATTACTACCATGCTCAACAGAATCGGGGAGCTGCCTGCCGCTCATAGAGCCACCTCGAGGGCCTTATGCCTGAAGCTGGCAGAAAGATCCACTTGGTATATCTTGGAGAACGTGTTCACAGAAGAGCAGGTGGCAGCTTTGCAAATTTGGGAAACAGTGGCCTGATGCTAAAGAGCCAAAGAGGTACTCACTGCCCTAGTGGAGTGCGCCTTCAGAGGAAAGAGGGAGGCCCATGCTTTAGAAAAGAAGACTGAATGACCATTTGTCTGAGCCACTTAGAGATGATGGAACGAGAAGCCGGGGCGCTCTTCATGGGTCCTCCATAACCCTCACTAACTTTTCCTCCAACAGGAGGCCATCCAAATGGCCCAGAATGGGAATACCCCCCAAAGTAAAGCAACGATGGATCTGGTTTATTCAACGTGAACATTTTGGCTCTTAACATTGAGGACCTTGAAGTCCAAGATAATGCAAATGCCTCCGTTGGATTTTGGGACAATGAACAAGTTGGAGTAAAACCGCTGAAACTGTTGTGCAGCCCAAACTGGAGTAATGACCCCTCAGTCCAGAGAGTG